CCATCTCTCTACACCACCACCACCACCACCCTATCTCTCTACACCACCACCAGCCCATCTCTCTACACCACCACCACCCCATATCTCTACACCGCCACCACCCCATATCTCTACACCACCACCACCACCCCATGTCTCTACAACACCACCCCATCTCTCTACACCACCATCACCCCCCCCCCCCCATCTCTCAACACCACCACCACCCCATCTCTCTACACCACCACCACCCCATCTCTCTACACCACCACCAGCCCATCTCTCTACACCACCACCACCACCACCCCATGTCTCTACACAACCGCCCCATCTCTCTACACCAACACCACTCCATCTCTCTACACCACCACCACCACCCCATATCTCTAAACCACCACCAGCCCATCTCTCTACATCACCACCAACCCATCTCTCTACACCACCACCAGCCCATCTCTCTACACCACCACCACCACCACCACCACCCCATCTCTCTACACCACCACCACCACCCCATCTCTCTACACCACCACCACCACCACTCCATCTCTCTACACCACCACCACCACCACCCTATCTCTCTACACCACCACCAGCCCATCTCTCTACACCACCACCACCCCATATCTCTACACCGCCACCACCCCATATCTCTACACCACCACCACCACCACCCCATGTCTCTACAACACCACCCCATCTCTCTACACCACCATCACCCCCCCCCCCATCTCTCAACACCACCACCACCACCCCATCTCTCTACACCACCACCACCCCATCTCTCTACACCACCACCAGCCCATCTCTCTACACCACCACCACCACCACCCCATGTCTCTACACAACCGCCCCATCTCTCTACACCACCACCACCACTCCATCTCTCTACACCACCACCACTCCATCTCTCTACACCACCACCAGCCCATCTCTCTACACCACCATCACTCCATCTCTCTACACCACCACCAGCCCATCTCTCTACACCACCACCACCACCACTCCATCTCTCTACACCACCGCCACCCCATCTCTCTACACCACCATCACTCCATCTCTCTACACCACCACGCCATCTCTCTACACCACCACCCCATCTCTCTACACCACCACCACCACTCCATCTCTCTACACCACCACCACCCCATCTCTCTACACCAACACCACTCCATCTCTCTACACCACCACCACCACCACCCCATATCTCTAAACCACCACCAGCCCATCTCTCTACACCACCACCAACCCATCTCTCTACACCACCACCAGCCCATCTCTCTACACCACCACCACCACCACCCCATCTCTCTACACCACCACCACCACCCCATCTCTCTACACCACCACTCCATCTCTCTACACCACCACCACCCTATCTCTCTACACCACCACCAGCCCATCTCTCTACACCACCACCACCCCATATCTCTACACCGCCACCACCCCATATCTCTACACCACCACCACCACCACCGCCCCATGTCTCTACAACACCACCCCATCTCTCTACACCACCATCACCCCCCCCCCCATCTCTCAACACCACCACCACCACCACCCGATCTCTCTATACCACCACCACCCCATCTCTCTACACCACCACCAGCCCATCTCTCTATACCACCACCACCACCCCATGTCTCTACACAACCGCCCCATCTCTCTACACCACCACTCCATCTCTCTACACCACCACCACTCCATCTCTCTACACCACCACCAGCCCATCTCTCTACACCACCATCACTCCATCTCTCTACACCACCACCAGCCCATCTCTCTACACCACCACTCCATCTCTCTACACCACCGCCACCCCATCTCTCTACACCACCATCACTCCATCTCTCTACACCACCACCACCACCACGCCATCTCTCTACACCACCACCCCATCTCTCTACATCACCACCAGCCCATCTCTCTACACCACCACCACCACCCCATCTCTCTACACCACCACCAGCCCATCTCTCTACACCACCACCACTCCATCTTTCTACACCACCACCACCCCATCTCTCTACACCACCATCACTCCATCTCACTACATCACCACCACCCCATCTCTCTACACCACCACCACCCCATCTCTCTACACCACCACCAGCCCATCTCTCTACATCACCACCACCACCACTCCATCTCTCTATACCACCACCACCCCATCTCTCTACACCACCACCACCACCACCTCATTTCTCTACACCACCACCACCACTCCATCTCTCTACACCACCGCCACCATCTCTCTACATTACCACCCCAAGTAACTCTCCACCCCACGTAACCCCGACAGGTGCTGGGGAGTCACCGTCGGGGATTCGTGGGGCGGCGTCGCGGACGCCTAAAACCAAACTGGCCCCACACTTTGTTCACAAAATCCCAACGCCCTGCAATCCACAAGTGCCGTTGTCTTCTAAAAAATGAATACGTGATAAAACCATTGCGTGTCATGTATCGCAACATACCCCGATGCACGAAACCCTAAAACAATTAGCCTGTCCAGCAATTACGATGAAGTCATCGCAGTGATGGATTGTGACACCGCCAAGGATTCTTTGATTACGTGCGTCAGTTTGTGTTGGGGAAAATGTGTAAATTGCATGTACGGTACCCCAATGTACTGTATTTACAGTGTGCATATTAACATGGGACAATCTCCTGTTTTTTTATTGTTTTCCCTCCGTAATAACGTTTTTTGGGTCGGATGGTGTAAAAATAAATGTGTCGTTAGTTACACGATATAACCCAAAAAACCTTTATTGTGAATAATATTGGCCATGAAAGCCTACGTGTTCAATTTGCCATGACGTTTCCCAAATTGAACATTGCAAGATGCCTTTGTGTACACATGAACGGCAGCGAACCTGTGCATTAATGGGCATTCCTAACACTTTGTAAAATGCAGGTTATTGCGAATATATTTTCGAATTGCAACAGATTTACAAAAAATCAGTGTTGAAGGAATTTGTTTGCCGGTGATATAAGTTCTGTTTTGGAATTCGAGGTTTTTAAGGGATCCAGAGGTCAACAGTTAGATTCACTCTCCCAGCGAGGCAGTTTAAATAAAAGATCATCTTTTAATGACGCCACATCTGTCTGCCCACCCAGCAGTATAGATGGATACACCACAGGCGACTGGCAGCTTGCTTGCGATGGCGTAAATCGTGGATAGTCCCACTTCTGGCACGATGTCTGACCAATATGGAAGAGTAGGCCACATTCACTCCAGAGGGGCTCTCCTTGGCTCCCTCTGGTGGACGCCCTTGCGCAAGCAATGCCGTGCGTGCATAGTTGCAGGGCTGCAGAACTGAAAATTCGTCATGCTGTTTGAATTCACAGATACCCGACGTGAGACTTCATTTGGTTAAGAGTTCTTCTTGGAATTGCAGCGCTAAAGAAAAAGTCCATAAATGAACGTCAGCTCATCGCTCACTCGCTGGCAATGATGAACAAGCCTCCGCGAAATAAGAGAGCAACAAACAAATAGGTGGTGCTGTGGTTGGAGGCGTCTCTGCACGTGATTATAATGAGATCAGCAGAGCTTAATGATCTAGTATCGCAGAAGGAAATGTGGGGGGGGGGGGGTGGAATCCACAAAATCTATAACCTTAACGTTCGTGATGATTTGTCTTTTATCAGTAAACTGACTGTACACTCTGTCTATGTTGCCAAGCAGATGAGGGAATTATCAACATGAAAATGTATTCCTTTTGTGTACCTAAGGTTCATAACCATGACTATCTCGTTCATTTTGTAAAATTAAATGCAAATTTGATTTGACAGCTTCAAAATACACCGAGTGAAAATAGAAAATCATCCCGGTAACAGCACCACACACATCGAGCCATACATAATGATTGCTGTGGGCTTTATAAAAGATATTCAATGATTTTTCCCAAGCAACAAGTGACCTAAAAAATGAGTCTGCAGCAGCAGCAGAATAAATAAATTGTCAATTTCATGCATTAGCACAAGTTTAACTCGTAGGCTTTCACAAACAATATCATCCATAATACAGGTTTTTTGGGGTTTAGATCGCGTAAATATATAAATGTTTCGTGAAACCCGCCACCACCCTACACAGACAATTTCGCAAGGTTTGTCACAAACACAACATGCCAAATCGTACGGCACACCGGTGTGTTGGAGAGCAAAGCCACAACATTTACAATCTAAGTACGACGTTTCGCCAGTAATTACAACTAGTTTAATCAGGCAACAGCCAGATTCAAGGAACGAAACAGGAGGGGGTGATATGATAGCTATGTTGATTCCAATTCAGAAATTTTCCAATAATTTTTCAAATGCGGTAACAAAATTTTTACCATGATGCCAGCAATCAATGGCCTACTCTTGCGAATGACTTTACAGGATCTTTGTGGAGCAGGCAGCGTGTAATTTGTTTGGTTAATACACCCACTGTTCCCGCACCTCCGATTAGTATGGTTGGCTACGTACGGTGCGAAAGAAGTTAAACATACATACGGCATTAATCAGGGCAGCCGAAGGATTCAACCCTGAACCTGTGCAACAAGCTGCAAACGCCCTACTGTTGGTAAATTCTTAAATTGGTAACCTATTACTGTATATTGACACTTTTCATCTACCCATGTTCTGTGAAACTAAACCTCACTAATTATTGTGGCTATATTTGGTATTTGAAAAAACATCACAAATGCACAATATAATTTGAACTCCAGTACTTAGAATTCTTGGCCTTTATGCTAAATCTTAAAACTGAATGTCTCGGACATCAACAACAAGAGTCAGAACAAATGGGCACAAACAATAACAAGATTAAAATTAACTCGGGGGTAGAACTGAATATTTTATTTCTGATCGCATGTAAACTCAAAAAGTTACCATAAGAATGGAAACCAATATGAGATGTCAGGACGGTAAAGTCTTACCGGCAAAAACGCACAAATCATTCAAATCCATCGACTGATTTATAACGTTTCCGCGACTGGACCGGATAACGCCTCGGATGGTCAGAGAGCCCTCTCACTCACCAGGAAGATGGAGCGCAGGTTGTTGCGGAGCGTGACAGCGATAATGGGAAAGTTGGTGCTGATGGTAAACACCGGGAAGAGGCCCAGGAAGTAGCGGACCCCGATCGGCGCGGAGGGGTCGGCCAGGAAGTTGAGGGTGTAGAGGTCCTGCAGCGCGCCCGTGGGGTACGCGAACACGGCTGTGAACGCCAGCAGGCTGTAGAAGGCCAGCACCAGGGCATAGGCCGAGAGCGTCACGCAGCCCAGGCGCCGCTTGTCGGACACGGGCGTGAGCAGCGATGGCAGCGAGTGCTGGCACATGAACGAGTAGACGCACACGCCGAACAGGTTCGGCACGCCGCTCAGAGTCCCGATGGCCGGGTGGCCCTGCGCCTCGCCCTTGCTAATGTGCAGGATCGCCAGCACGATCATCATGATGAAAGCTGCAGGGACAGATGGGCAACATGGGGCGAGTGGTGGGGGGCACGGGATGGGCAGGGGATGAGAGGTGATGAGAATAGCAGTGGCAACCAGTGAGGCATTGGAAAAGCAACCTAACTTTTAAGCAAGGCAGACGTATCACGCATATAGATTCTGTAATACTTTCTACGATTTGTTGTCCTTGTAGCACTGGTGAATCATCTCCAGGTTTTTTAGGATACGTTTGATCAATGTGTCTGTTTTTTGTAGAGTAAGTCTCAAACAGCAACACAGCTTTAGTGTAAAAGCTTCAGTCATATTGGATCAGCCATACGAGAGTTATCATGGCCCCGTTACATACAGGTGGGGAGAGCTAAAGCATAAAATAATTCGCCATTAGTTGGGAGAACATTAATAAAACTTGAACTTAAATGATCAACTGTTGACTGCTCACATAAAACAGCTTTATAATGAAGCAGATCCTTCACAATCCAAGACCGCTTTGTATATATTGTTCTTCATGAGGCCGGAACCATTGCAAAAATCTACAATTTCGCGTAAAAAAACTTAAATCTCTATCCATAGGGGTGCGCAAACAGAGATGCATTCCTTCTGTCTCTACGAATGTGGAGAAAACCCAACGATAGTCAAAAGTGAAGTGCCGTACGTGCGTGTTCAAACAAAAATTAGCGCTTTCAAATTATCACTGCACATTTATAGTCTATCGTGCAGATTTTGCAAGACATGCCAAGAGTGAAAAAAATGGAATTGAACAAAAGCAATTATGCTTTGCTGCCGTTAAATATGAAGAAAACAATCACTACTGTACGATACCCGATGCCTGTGCAGGAGACGGTGTAAAAAATGTTTTTTTCGGAGACAGAATCGTGCCTTATTGATCCAACTGTTCATTTATAGGACAGATCAGAGGTGAAGTAAACACGCACTGAAGGAGGATGAAATTACTGTCTGGTAACCTTCCCCTGTGCTCGTTTCTCCCGCCAGCCAACAGTAAAACCTGCAGTGAGTTCCGTGCACAACGCGGCCAGCCACACAAAGGCTTTGTGCTGTGCGCACGATCTGTTGTTGGCAGACAGCAGGCGCATGCTGAGACCGAAGGTGATAATAGGGTAATTTAATAATTAAGAAAGCCAAACATCAAAAAGGTCAAGGTTGCAACAGTTGACAGCGCTACACTCACAACATTGCTTCTTGCGTTTCTAGAGCTTCACAAATTAAGCAATAAGAAGCATTAATTAGTAACAGGTAGTAATCAATAAGTAACACAGAGCTGTTCCCTTCTGGGCATTCAACCAAGCACAGCACGAATGGGCAAAAATGTAATACAATGAAGCTTTTGTTTAGACATGTTTCTGTTTTCTCTTGACCCTGTTTTGGAAGGTTATATGCAAAGGGCAAAACGTGATCACCAGAATGATAGGGTTGCTAAATAAATATTATGGCCAGTTCGATGCAGTGATTCAGTGCAAAAATAATTAATTGAGATGAATGTGTACAAGGGGAACACTCCAGGGCGTGTGATTGCTTGCACAGGTTTATTTGTGATGTTTATCCCAAATGGGCCAAACGCCCCGCACATTTCGCGGGGATAATGTACTTGTCCGCCCAATTTACTCGCTTATTTATTAATGTAATTCGAAAAGGCAGCTGCTCCACGTATAAATAATATCTACCTCCTGGATCCAAAACTTTACGGGACTATTATTCGAGTCAACCTTGAACGATCCAAAATGACAAACAATTGCATCTGCAGACAATTGTGCCTTTAAAGGATAACATTAATTATTTCTCCTTCCTATAAATCAACAAATGCGCCCTGCAAAAACACATAAAAGGCGACCTTTAAAATGTACCTGGCCATTTCCCTGCTTTGCGAGTTCCCGCTGATTGCAGAGCAATCTAATTCACAGTCACTGCAGTCCCATTTGCGCGCTGCACCGAAGCCACTCAAATGTTTTTTATTTCTATTTATTTGTTTTGGCTTTCATTTGTAAAAGCTTGGGTTACTGCATACATTTTCACTGAGGCAAATGCTGTTTTCGCAGTCTACAAAGGCCAGGGATAATGGTATTTTCTAATCATGGATATTTCTATAATATTATTGATAGAAGATGTGGTTGACAGTAGAGAAGCCTTTACTAAACCTGGCTTACTCATGCGGTTGATTGGCTTTGAAATTTCCATTATTCTCTTCCCGATGATGTTGGTGGAACAATTGATAAGTTAACATTCCCTAGAACAGGCTAAGAGGTGTGCCACTCTTTAAGTGCAACTTTACCAATGTATTTGAATCGCAGAACGATTGAGGAATCATTCCATGAGTGAGCTTTTTCAATTCTAAACATTTGGTAAAATTGAAATATAGTAGTCAGACAAGGGGGAAACCTTTCGCCAAAGTTGATCCGAGTAACATTCGTTAATAGACAATGGTGGCTGTTGAAAATCCACGCTGAAACCACATTCTTCCCAAGTGTGCATTTCAACAGTACCATATGCAACAAGATTTGTAACGTGGACAAACCGGCCCTCACCATGGAACATCTGTGCACAAGAGCTGCATAGCTCATCGGATTTCTCCTGCAGTCTAGATAAAGATTCTGAGTAGAATTTGTGTTATTATACACATGCATGTATGCTACTGAGTGTTGCCCTTCTGTGTTGTTTCAAAGTCATGTTCAAGAGTCTCCCTGCTCAAACGAGCAATGAGGTGGTGCTCATCTCTGTTGGTGGCCCTAACTCAGCCGTGGAAATTCCACATTCCCATGGTTTCCGCATTGGACGATCACAGCTGACTTCCCACAAAGCGGTATCCATTGTATTGACCCTGAAAGTCCAAGTCAATCACCAATTAATGACTCTGACCACTGTGCCATCTGGCTGCATTGCTTATGTTCAGCAAATACTATTTTTATTTTATTTTACAAAGGATGCACACTGATACTTAAGCACCATATCTAATTGAAAATGTACATTTTAAAACACTCCATCTAACTACACTGTGATCTGGGTCGCATAGCAAATCCACGACCCTGAATAAACCCACTACCTGATAAAGGCCTTTCCAAGCCGTGTTGATCATGGGGATTATTTGGCCTTACTTCACTGTGCTAGTCAGTGTGGGTGGGTGAATTCCGATCTGGAATTACAATGGTACAAACATGCACTTTGTAATCTGCGATCAAATGCATTCAAATTACATAGAGAGCCCAAGAAAGACTGTTGTTAGTTGAGACTTAAATCTTTCAAAGACACTAGACTACGATGCTGATAGCACCTATTACAATACCACTCACTCTTCATTGAATTTATACTGCGACTCCTCGCAAACAGAATCAAAATCTTTATTTAAATTGGAGGAATCAGATGAGCTATAACTCTTTTTCACAGATGTCCAGTAAGGGTGGGTGAGCAAGGTCAACCAAAACCTTGATGTCGTTGAATGTGGCATTGCCAAATTTCCATTCCACTGTGCACCGGTTCAGCTCGGACTGTGCAGTGCTTTAGATCAATAGGAAACCTTTAAGAAGCTGCAATGTTCAAATAATAATAATCACGCCTATGAGTTCACCTGCATTATTTAATGAGAGCAAACGTACAATGGACCAGAGCTTCGCTACGTCTCCTGGACAATAACATTTGATTTAAATTGAACTATGAAATCAGCGCCTTCAACGACCCGGCAACCTCAATCTTCAAGCCAGACGACCTTGACGCAAACCTAACTGTTCATCGTGAGGCTCGTAATACCATTGGGTTATCCATGAACTTAACTAGTTGCAAATGTGTCAAGTTTCTTCTGGGCAAAAAAAAAAAAACTTTAGTGAGACAGAACATTTTGCAGTTAAACCGAGCAGCATTGAACATCAGTAATGTTTTTTTACAGCAGGGTTCTTGACGAGGTTAAGAGGTGACATATTTGATTCAATGCTACATTAGCTTTGCTCTTTAAATTACTTTGTTGTTATGGCTGCCGGAACACAAACAAGACAAAGGCTCCAACATGACAGCGCACGGCTTGCTCGGCTCTAATTCTGGTGCTTAGGCAGCGCCGCAGAATAAGGGCAATCCGAGTACACGGTTGTGCTACAATAGCCGTGATTGTGGTCATTAATCCAAGACGTGTAAGGGTCCAACAAAGCAGATGTCCTTCTTGGCAATGGTGTAACATAGCCCTGCCAACAATGCTTTGCATCCTGCTACAATAACACGCATATGCTTACAAATAGTATTTCTCACATATATATTATCATGAAACATTTTCAGTTTTCAGTATATTTATACTGAAAGAGCTTGCGTGTCCTATTTCTGGGAATTCTTCTTTTTGGTATACCTAAAGAATATTTCTTCATTATTATTATGCTCAACTGTGGTACAACTTAAATTAGTCAAGATTTGAATTAGGACTTTAGCAGAATCACCATTCGTTATTCCTTAACCTAATTACCGGCTATTATCAATCTACTGTTGGATGAAGGCCTCCCCATGCCTTCACCTAACACTTGAACTTATTTCATCACTCCATCTCCAATAGTTTCATCTGGGTGGATTTTTTTCAGTGCGCTCCAATGACTAAACTAAAACTTTCCTCCATTGGAAACCCCATTTGCCAGTAACAAAATATGATAATGGTTCTTTTACCCTTTTATCTGGCAACAAAACGGACACCTTTTTTACAAGGAGTCATGTTTGCATTGACCACAATACCTGCGGTCGGAACGCAAACAAAAACACAACTCTGATAATGTATGCACTGTCCTTGAAATTGATTGGTCCACACCGGAGACAGCTTTCCTTAGAGCCTCGTCTCACATGGTGTTGGACCAGATGACGCCAAAAGGCGTCATCTGGTCCAACACCAGTTTTGTTGCCAGATAAAAGGGTAAAACTTTCCTTTTTATTAAATGCATGTTTCTAAGCGTGGAGGGAAAAACTGGAGGACACAAAAAATCCATACGACCACAGGGAGAGAGACATGAAAACTACAAATATACAATCATCAGGG